AAATTCAATATCATTTCAATAGATGTAGCCTCTAAAGTAACCTGCAGTGATGCTTCATGAGGAAATCACATGATGTCAGAATGGTATGGTTTCGATTTAATCAAGAAAGAGATTAAAGTGGATGTGTGTTATTTTCAACTTCGCCGCAGCACCGCCATTTGTCAAAGTCAACCTTCTGATTGCTTTGGACCTACTGCTATCCAGGTCTTGTCAAAATAGTAGTCAGCATAGTCAGAAGCAGGTAGACCGGCCTATAAAGAACAGTAGCCCACACAGTAAAACAGAATTCATTGACTTGTGAATTATGAAGTTAATAGGTTGATCATAAATTTTGTAGCCGTTAATTTATCTTTATAACACTAGCACATCTTCAGTACATTCTTCTTTTTATTTTGTACCATTTTACATAGTAGAGTTAAATAGTACTGAATATAATTTTGATGTATACTGTATATCAGAATTCCTATAATTCCAATGCTAGGATTAAATGTTTTGCATGAATACACTGGAGAAGGACATGAGCATTTTTAGAAACATATCAAGGAAAGGGTATTTCAAGAATGTGGCTTCTTGGAAAGGAGGCAAATGTAAATATTGTATGCTTGAATTACACTATGATTATGTATAATCAAATAACTGTATTTTGAGGCTTTTTCTTTTAAAATTGGTTGGGTTAATGGCTGTTTTACTGTGAGTTGTTACAGAGTCAGATTTTTTTTTTTCCTTTAAGTAAAATCGTGACAGATATTTCATGTTATTTTTAATCATCATACTAGGCTATTGTGAAGCCACCTTTTTAACTCCATACTTGCCAATAGGCTGACGGCCAGTCAAAAAAGCTATTTAAATATTCTTCTGGACAGAAAATCATTTTTTAAATCTTTTTATGATTAATGACAAACCATTATGAGAGGTTTATCATTTTAAAAAGTAACAGAAAATGTTAAAATTATTGCCAGATTGTAGAATTCATTCAGTTTGCTGATGACGCTGGGTTGTCTTGCTTTCTTTTCTTTGTCTTTCTCATCCCTCTTCCTTCCTTTCTTCCTTTTTTTCCCCCCTTCAAGTAAAGAGCTTTAAGATACTGTGGCTTATATTCTGACACTTTCTTCCCCTTCACAGCAGCGACCTGGCTGGCCTTTGGCAATGAAATTCAATGCACATGGCTCCGCAGTCAAATCATCAGATTTCCCTGTGTGTATATTAGAGTTTTGTACTGTGTTTCCATTATGAAACAATGCGGGGATAATTGTCTTTGGTAGCAATTAGCTAACAGGTTTGTTCAGTGCTGTTGGCACAGGCATCCGTCATCCCCTTCCCTGAGCACACTTTTTGTCTAGTGTGGACTACGGGGATCAATAGAATTCTATATAGGGGAAATCACCTCGGCTTTAATGAGCTGCAAGTCTCAGTCAGTCTTGGTTTGTATTTTTAATTTTTTCCTCTTAAAATTAGAAATCAGGGGAAAAAATCCTATTCCTTTGAGAGTGGAGAGTACTGTGTACGTACTGTTGCTTCCACTGGATCAATGCTCGGTTTTAAATTGTTTTTTCCTTCTATAAAAAAGTATAGTTAATAGCATGGGACACATAAGTCGTGTGATTTCAGTAACATATTTTTTAAATATCTACTCTTAAGGAGTGCTGTTGGGATTTTTGTGGGATAATTTTTAGAGTATGATATGTATGTTCTGCTCAGCATCTCAGTAGTTAAAAAGAGACCTGAGTGGCACTTTGATAACAAACAGTTTCATAGTACTAATTTTGTGGTTGCCCCTGGTTAAGTCATGTTTTACAGTCTTTTAGGATACTTTGATGTTGTGCTGTTGCTTACCCTCCCAACAAAACTAACATATTGATAGGATAGGTATTACGGAGACTGAGTTCCAGAAAGGATAAGTGACTTGGCCATGATCCTATAGTTATTACTACACAAAGCTGACCCTAGAGCCCAGATTCCAAAATACCGTTGTTCAATTATACTGAATTGAGTCGTTTTTCTTCCTTCCAACTTAGTTTAGTGAAATTTACTCACGTTGTACCATTTTCTTTTCCCCCTAAAATCCTTACGGACTCTAAAGTCAGTTTGTTCGGAGGGAGAATAGTAGTAAGCATTTCTTTGGTTTTCTGTGGCCTCCAAATAGCCCAGGTGAGGTAAAGGAGGCCAGTTTACAGGTGAGGAAACAGACTCTGCAGAGTTTGTAAACAGAACTGGCGTTAAAGTGCGTGGTGGTCTATGGTGGTGCCGGTACCCGAATCCAAGACTTCCTGCTCCTAGTCAACAGCTCCTTTTACTGCATTAGGGTGAATGAAGTAGCAGTTAGGATAATTTTGGACGAAATGCTGTCAGAATAGGATTGCAGGTTTTCCTGTCACAGTACAGACCTGAGCGAAAGCAGGAGATGAAGCGCTCTTACTCTCATGCCATCATGTCGAGTGATTGAGCCCTACCCCATTCAGTAGTCTTTCTTCCTAGCATGGGATATTACCAACAGCATTTTTTTTTTTTTTTTTTTTGCGGTACGCGGGCCTCTCACTGCTGCGGCCTCTCCCGCCGCGGAGCACAGGCTCCGGACGCGCAGGCTCAGCGGCCATGGCTCACGGGCCCAGCAGCTCTGCGGCATGTGGGATCTTCCCGGACCGGGGCATGGACCCGTGTCCCCTGCATCGGCAGGCGGACTCTCAACCACTGCGTCACCAGGGAAGCCCCCAACAGCATTTTAATTAATAACGAGTAGCGGGTAGACTACATTTTGGGCTGGTTTCTTGGAAATGAAAGCCCTTATATTTTGAACAAATCCTGTAAATATCAACGTACATTTTTTTCCTGTTTTGTATCATGTTTTTAATTGCACCAACAGAGAGTAAAATTGGAAAGTGATGACCAGTTATAGACTGAATCGCTAAAAAAAGCCTGAATTTTAATTCCATGTTTTATAATCTATTCCTGGGGTCTCACCTTCCCATCTTAACTTGTTCAGGAAGGCTAGAGATTGTCTTTTTTTGTAATTGTTCAGTGCTCCCCCATTTTAGTGGATGTCCTGCTCCATGTTAAGTCTCAAGTATTAAATGTGTGCACGAGTGAATGAACGAGTGTCACACTAAGCACGGTGACTTTCTCCTAAGAGTCATACTACAGATAACCCTGTTTATGGAGATTTTCTTAAGTGGAGTAGATATGGAAATGAAAATATCTTTAAACAGGAGAAGATTATCTAAATGTTTACAGTCCCTCCATGAAAATCTTCCATGTGAAAGCTCTTTTTAATAGGGAGGCTGGCGTTATAATAAAATTGTGAGCATATTGATGGTTCTTGAGTCTGAATATAAGGCAAATTAAAGTTTCTGAAGAACCTGTGGGAAAATACCCCCGTTCACATTAGAAACTGATGGTTTTGTTTACTTCCTGAAGATTTTATACAGCTTTTCTTAGCTTTCTTACATATAGCAGTATATCCTCCCTGCTTTCGGATATCCCACCATTAATAGTAATATCCTTTTAAAATAAACAATACAGTTGAATGAATTTGCAGTGAGGATGAATGTTTTGTAGAATTCCAGTTTACTCTTGGTTTTCCTAAGGGAATGTGCTCTTCTACCTAATATGCGTGTGATTACCCCTCCCCCCAACTGAAATAGTTTTCTCCAGTGGAATTATTAATTTTTGTTCTTAATTTCATTAAGGTCATTAAAAAAAAAACTGGTTTAGAGCTTTGGGCAGTGTGCCAGCCCATCAGTACACAGTATACTCATCTTTAAAGCTCTAACTTTAATAGAAGAAAGTGTAAAAAAGCATTCCGTACGTATTTGGATCTAAGTAGACTTTGAGTGGTCCCTTACTAACAATACTGGAATATTGATTTCTTTGGAATTCATGTTCTTCATTTTTCTGCAGTATGTCAAGAGCTATTTGAGTGCTGACTATGTTCTGGGCACTACGTTAGTTGCTATAGCAGGTGGAAAGAGACATAAAACTCACAGCCTTTCCATCAAAGAAT